GATTAGACCGTTAGCATCTCGCTCAAAAATGACCAAAGAGTTTCGATATTTTTCCTGTTTAAAACTTGACTCTTCTGTAGTTACATTGTGTATTAAGACCAACGGAAAATGAAAAGTTGCGATTTTCTAGGCCGATATGGCTAGGAACTATACTCGCATTCCGGCGTAATAATCAAGGAACTTTGCTGCCGTACCATGGGTGCAGCAGGCGCAATGAAATTAAAATATATTAGATATATTATTATTAAAAATATAGAAACTCTTTAGTCATTTTTGAGCGAGATGCTAACGGTCTAATCAGATTCAATGATCTATGCTAAGCTACAGCTAAAAGTGCTACCGCCAGACCCGGAGATCGGCTGAATGGATTCGAAAACGGTCAAACTCAACTGTTTAACTCTAGGGGAGTTGGAAAATGAGCCTATTTTCAAAAATAGTGGAGTGTTCCTTTAAATAAATAAACAAATAAGCAAAAAAAAAAACTAACAGCTAAAAACAATGAAAACTTACAACAGTTACTTTACTAAAAAAATAAAAAACCCAAACCTAGTAAAAAGTGACTTAGTAAAATATAATATCTCAATTATACTAAAATAATAACATTTATATCTGAAAATATTGGCTGCCATTAAAATATTTTTTGAGGATTTTTGAACAGGATCATTAAAAAACAAAACAGGTAGCCTAAACGTTTACAATTTAATAGAACATTCTCAAAGTTCATTGTACCTACCTCTATCTACTGAACAGACAGCACTACTACTTCAACAAGCTAGTTATTAAAGAGTATTATTTCACAAAGACAATTTTTTTCTGTGGCGTATAAAGTAATTTTAAAGAGAGCACACTCCAAACACACTCTACATCAATGAACACCCACGATGTGCCCTGGGGCAAAGTCCCGCATCATTTGATGTGTAGGTCCATCTAGTGGCTCTTCTTAGAAATAGATTTAATACATCCCAACTCCCAACTTTCTTTCTTTCTTTGAAATGTAAATGTAGGCCTACTATAATGGCGGTTTCCTGGAATTGTATAGCTTTTTAAAACTGCATTTTGGAAGCTTTAGAATGAAGGTCTTTGGTGTATTATAGCCTACATACAACTTAAATATGACATACTCGTACCTCAAAATATATAAGCCCCTGCTTTAAACGTAGTTTTAAACGTACAGTAGCTCAGTGACTAACACATTGCTAGCGTGGTCGTGTGAGGTCAACATGCAAAGTTCGTCGAGTGTCATTTTTGTCAACTAAAACTGCTCTAGTTTTAAACTCGTTTTCGTGCGTTGAATTAAAGGCTGAAATAAATTTCAAATTTTATGAAATTAAAAAAAATAAGAATTTTAGGAAAATTAGAACTGGCAACAAACTGAAATAAATAAGTTTACATCTCACGAAATACTAAAATGACAAAACTAAAGCTAAAGAGAAATATTAAAATAATCATAATAATAAAATGACAAAAGCACATGAAAATAACTAAAACTTAAGAAACTGAAAATATAACACATTTATCATGTATTAATTCTTTAAACAAACAAGCTAACAATGAATGAATGAATGAATAAACAAATAAATAAATAGGCTAAATAAATAAAAAGTGCGCCTTTAATTTGTGTGAAAAGTGACTCAGGAAGTATAACCGATGACTATCAGTGGGCGTCGGGCGAATACCAAACGGAAGTGAGCATCCCTATGCCCTACTCCCTTCGAAGTGTGTTCTTTTAAGGGTGTGGGCATTACTGTCTCGGCGAAGGGAATGACTAACGTTACCTTGACAACGCTGCGCGTGCGTGCAGCATTCAGCACTCCATCAGTTGTTGCAAATAAATATTTCTTCTCATTATTATTATTTTATTTAAATATTGTCTCACTGTGTCTTATTTACTATTCAACTTTTTCAAACTAAACGTGTCTTACTGACAAAAAATATTTTGTATCACATTAAAATGAAGACAAATGTAATCAGCCTATTCTATTTTCGTTCGTATGTGAAGTCGAAATCAACCCCAACTTTGCTTTAAAATGCATCGCAGGAGCGCCTCACTGAAGATCACATGATCACTAACGGAAATCACTTCTGTGAAGTGACCATCGCATGTTCCCTTCGCTAACGGACTTCTGGAAGGGCCCTTCGTGAAGGGATTCAGTTGCTCACTTTCGTTTGGAACCTCCCACTCCCTACACATGGCATCCCCTTCCCGAAGTGCCCAGGGGCGCAAAAAAAGCCGTTTGGAATTCGCTCAATATATTAAAAACTCAATTTCCCAGCATCCTTTACTGCAACGCGCCGACACAGTGTCGTAAATCATCCGCCCTGCTTTACGGCAGATATTAGGCTAGTGTGGAGTGAATTGAGTAATGGCAGGAACAGACACGAGATAGTCCACGAACTTTACGTTATTTTTACATTTATCAGGTACCAGCAGCCGGACGCACGTCTGTGTTCGTCGTCGTTCGCTGTGAGAGGCTGGTTCCGACCCCGTTTTTCTGTCATCATAGTAACTGTATGCAGTGGAATGGCTGAAGTGCCGCCTGGGCCTAACACACTGCCTTCATCCCCGAGCGAGATCACACCACTGCCCGTGGACGGGTGCACCTTACTGGGCACCGATGAGGGACGGGACATCATCAGCCCCGGCCCGGGACACCAGCACGCCGGCAACCATAAGTCGATAGTCAAATCCAACCAGAACAACTTGCATCCTAATGCATCAGCCGCCCAGTTCCACACAGCCCAGCTGAACGGGGTCCAGTGCAACCACACTCACGTCCAACAACACCGGCCGTCCGACAATCAAAACGCCGCTTCCGATCACCACTTGGACGGCATCTGCGAGACGCAGAGCGATCACACGGAAAACAACAATTTCACGAGAAATAAACGATGCAGTGATATATCGCAGAGCCAGTCGCCGCCGAACAACGGGATCAACTGCACTGATAGCATGGCGATAACGGAGAGCAGCTCGTGTCGACTGGAGAACGATGTAAGTAGCAGGACTGGTTCGGGGGATCGGGCTCGAGTGGCTGCGGCTGCGGCAGCGCTGATGGACGGGGCTGAGTCAGGCCCGGGCCCGCAGCGCGCTGGAGTAGATCTGGCGGCGGCTGACAGCGCTCCGGTGGCGGGGATGTCGAGACTAGCGCTGGAGGAGCACGACGACTCCATCCGATACGTGAGATACGAGTCTGAGCTCCAGATGCCCGATATCATCCGACTCATAACTAAAGACTTATCTGAGCCCTACTCCATATACACCTATAGGTACTTTATTCACAACTGGCCTCAGCTCTGCTTTCTGGTATGTATCTTGTCATTCGGTTATTCTTGATGGTGTTGAAGAGATCAGTATCAAAGCCTTCACATATAACAAAATAGCTAACATTCATGTGGAAAACATGTATAAAATATTGCTGATTGATTCGCATTCTCGTATATCCTGTGCGTCCGAGAATAGTACGGTATCACCACAGTTTTTTGGACACATGCCATGTTACCTTGACTAAAATAAACATGTTACTATAGTAAGTGTTCCCAAAAAAAAGAAGTCAAAATGTTTTTTTTTGCCATGGCATGTCTCAGAAACATGACCATTATATATAATCATGTCCAAGAACATTACACTGTTAATTTTTTACTTTGGGAGTGTAAAAAGTAACCCCCCCCCC